GATGGAAGTTAAGATACGTTGGGTTAAAAGATCGGCTAATTCCCTAGCTGACGGTTTAGCTAAACAAGAGGCAGAAAGGGATTCACTTTTTTGGGTTAATGTTGCATAACTTTCCACTCAATAATTCTAGCTTAGAAAGAAACTTTTATCTCTTTTCATGCTATCAAATTTAAGGTCCCAATACAGAGTTCTGATTTAGAAGTAGCTTCAGCTCCAGAAAACCGAGTGTTCACCTAAATTGTCTTTGTTTCCTTTCAGTTTTATTTTTCCCAAAAAGTCAATAAAATCCATAGAATTGGTTCACAGTTGGAATCGGAATCAAAATCCTTTGGGATTGGAATCAGAATGGCCTATTCCCATAGTCTGTTTGGTTCAGACAGGAATGAGAATGGGAATTGGAATCAACAGGAATGAGATTTCATTCCCAAGGGGGCAAGGAATGACCATTCCCTCAAATGGGGGATTGCCATTCCAGTAGGAATGGGAATGCGATTCCGATTCTGCCCAACCAAACAGCTGGAGCCCATTCCGATAACGATTCCAGACCCCTATTCCTGGGAACCAAATGGGGTGGAATTTCTTAACAAAGTAAATCAAAGCTTCACTTTTTTCGTTCTAGTCATTTGTTTTTGACACTATTTATTTGCTTAAGGCACAAAGATAGAGAAACAAACAAGGATGTACCATAACTTTGTTGAGATTTTGCAGATGTTACACTGTAGCGTTTCTTGAAGACAGAAAGTACTCAACGTTAGCTCCATTTGGTGGATTTGCATTTATAGGTGCTTGGGCAAGTCTGCTTTTCTAAGGCTTTAGTGCTAGATACAGAAGATAATCAACTGGGTCAAATCTTACAGTGTAAGCTCTTCATATTGGATTTGGAGTGAGACGGTTGTTCATGGAACTTTATTTGATCACTTTGACCAGAAACTACAGAAATTCTTATTTGTATTGATTGGTGGAAAGAGTCATTACATGGTAAAGAGTGGATATTTGAGTCCAAGATCCTATGTTAAAAAAAAAGAGTTATACAAGGTACTAGGAACATGTTCAAGTTATTATTAATATTTGGTAGGTTTCATTATGGAACTTCCAGTTCTAATGTAAATCACATCGGAATAATCACAACTAGTAAAATCGCGTTGAGTTTGATAAATAGCGTCCAACAAATTCTCTTATCAGGACCCATTTTGATGTATAAAGTTGCAAGCCTATGAGTAAAATATGCCTGAAGTTTCTTTGTTTACTTATTTTGATTTTTGGTTATTTCATTCATCCAGTTTCAGTACAAGTCCTCACCAACAGGGTTCATAAGGAAATTGGGGATTGAATCCCAAACATAATCATGAACCATCAAATAGGTGTCTCTGCAACCAAGTGAGCAAAAACATTTCTTGACGTTCTAACAAAAGAGACAGAATAGGAACTGAACTGGGGCGAAAGGGCCCCATCATCCATGATAATACTATAAATACCCACGGTGAATCAATAGGAGCACAAAGAAGCTTCATAATCTGCAGGGCATCACCTTCCTGCCCAAATTCTTGAAACTTGCTGCCCCTGAAGTTTGGTAATCCTGAACTTTTTGACATAGATGCAATTAGGCCCCCTTAGTTAAAACCATATAATAAGAGGCACAAAAATGTATAAAATACCCATGTATTTACTATCTAACTGGTTTTTATAGAATACAATACTTACTTTATAAATAACAAAAAATAAAAATAAAAATAAAAAAAGAGAGATTAAGGTTGTAGCTTGTCACGGACCCACTAATGGGTCATTAGTAGGCCCACTTATCGAATGTGGTTTAAATTTGTTAGCTGTTGGGTTATGCATGTAGTGGAGAGCCACGTGGCCCGGCTCCCGGCTGTGAAATTTGTTAGTAACTTGTTCCTTATTTATGGGTCAGTTAGTAGTGGGAGAGTGTCATGATTAGTCACGTAAGGTAATGGGTTATGGGTAGTTGTATGAATCTGTATTTATACTTCCTTTGCTCTTTGAAAGGATACCAATTGAAGAATTTGGTTTTTATTGGAAGTTTCTCGTCTCCCTCGAAGCAGACGAAACTCACGTTACGCCCCTAACCGGGTTCGTAACAATTGGTATCAGTATCCCAGTTTTGAGCACCGGCTTGCACAACTGCAAGGAAAAATCCGATTGTTGGCCATTAACCAACAACGGATGATGGAGCTGATGAATCACATGTTCGAAGTTGGAGTCTTTGCACTCAAAGGAGAAGGGCGAAGTCACACACCATTGCTGCAATAGTGAACAGTTTGTTTCTGCCATGGCAACTAAAGGAGATGCTACTACAACGATTACCAGCAATCAGTGGAGCTCAAGACCAGATCGTTCACCTCCTCTCTCTCCCTTCTTATCTGAAGAAAAATCCCAAGGGACCAGTAAGCTCTGTGAGTTGGAGAATACTGCTTGGGTTTCAGCTCAGTCCTCTAAAGGAACCGACCCTTATGACGTCACAATCGGGTTCGACATCACCTCTCATTACCACATGAACCAAGGCATTGATCTACAACGAGAGCTTATCAAATTCTTGAATGCCGGCATCATTGCCGGAGACGAAAATGAACATAGAGCTGGCGTGATCATCTCCAAAACTTTCGAGACAGGGAAAGGAATGAAGTTTGTAGAAGCTTCAAGGGACAGAAACTTAGTTCTACGCTATCAAGCAAAGATGATGGAGGAAGAGAGCATTCCCTGGGACCCACCTTGGACAATGGGAAACAGTTCAATCTCCATTCATTTGTACACTGGTTTCCTCCAATCCCACCATTGACGTTGTGCTTGATTGCATAGCAGAGAGTGAGAAACAGGATGCAGAGGCGTACTCTCATGTAAAATTGGTTGGTGCTTCCACCGTCACCTTCACTGGTGGTGAGCATAATGTCCTCAATGCTACTTGCAGTAAGAAATCTCCTGGTGTCCTAATTGTTGAAGTCATGGCTCCCAGTCTAAGTCTGAAGCGTATAGGATTTAACACCGGTCCCTTCAACTACCTTCCTGAGTTCAGATCCGGTTTGAATGATGAAGCGCACATAGTCCATTACTTGGAGACGAAGGCTAAAAATGGTGAAAGGACTTTGAGTAGGTGGTTCCATGAGTCTTGCGTGAACAGCAAGTGTCATCATCCCCCCTGGGGCCCACAAGTGATTAAGCTGGAGTCTACATCGACAATGCCCATCCATAAAGGCGTTTCCTTCGATCTCACAATCTTTATTGAGTTACTCACATACATGAAAACTGATAATGGGTTTTTTAAAGTCATTCATCTTGCCAGAAAAGCTGATATCAAGCTGGTGAAGACCTTCACATTTTACTGGGCTTCATTGGGCTTGTTGAAGGTTCTGACCTTGAGGACAAGGTCCATTTTAAGGGGGGTGGGAATGTCACGGACCCACTAATGGGGCCATTAGTCGGCCCACTTATTGAATGTGGTTTAAATTAAAAAAATTAAGTAGCTGTTGGGCCATGCATGTAGTGGAGAGTCACGTTGCCTAGCTGTGAAATTTGTTAGTAACTTGTTCCTTATTTATGGGTCAGTTAGCAGTGGGAGAGTGTCATGGTTCGTCTCCCTCGAAGCAGACGAAACTCACATTACGTCCCTAACCGGGCTCCTAACACTTTACCTTTGATCTATTGATCGATTGATATCAAGGATAAATTTAGAAAATAAATCAATTTTGGAAAAAAGATTGGAAGGGTTCGTGGCAATATTGATATGAAAAAAAAAATTTGAAAAATAAATATTTTGTTCAAAAGGTAACTGTATAGGTATTTTGGGCATTTTCAAGAGGATTCTAACAGAAGGGGGTCTACTTGCAATTGTGCTAGAAAATTCAGGGGAGATAATTGTAATTACCAAACTTTAGGAAAAGTTTTAACAACATTCCAAAACTTCAAGGAAGATTTTAACAATTTACCCTAAAAATAAAATATTGCATAATGTACACCAACTGCCTTGGGTCTAGGCTTTGGGCTTTATATTGGGCCTGGACATTTTCTTTTATTAATAAGTGGTAATGCCCAACTTGAATTTGGCCTGTGAACAAGTCTAGTTAGGTACTTGATGGGGCGGCAAGTGTTTTTTTTTTTTTGTTTATTTCATACCAACATTTTAAGAAGTGGCCATTAAAGAGTTGAACTCTAGCTATGACCAAACCGAGGCATGAGAATCTTTACATGTAGCAACCTCATTTACAACTTGCATAAGAAGTTTTATAGGCTTCAAACAACTTGCAATCAGATCGACCTCAGACACCAAATTTCATCATCTTCTAGGCTTCTACCAAAGTAAAAAATATGGAAGATCGACGATAAACCAGCCTGAGCAGAGTACAACACACAATCTGAAGGGGATTTGGTTTATCTCCATGAAATAGCACTCTGTTTATATATGCAGGTATCACCGCATCTGATCAATAAAGACAATGAACCAGAGTCATTGCAACCAGCATCCTCCCGTATGGTTAATTTAGATGTCAATAGATTTGCAAGGAAAATAAATCAGTTCCCAGAGGCACAGAATGCGTTCTAGTTTGGGAGGGCTGAAGGCTGAAGCGCAGTGGCATCTGGCTTTCTCAGGTAGTAGGTCTCACACAGGCAGCTTATAAGCAATTTTTTGGTGAAAAGTCTGGAGAGCCCAAATCGGCTGTCCATTTGTATCTTGAGTGCTTCAAAGCAGCTTACCAACTTAACTGAATCTTATCTCATCCCTCCCAAACAGACCAGTGAAGAAGAGATGATAAGTAGATTCCTTGTCTATTTGCACGAAGGACGGGTAGGATCTGTGTGTTTCAATCTTTCAACTAAGACTGATCCCACAGGAATAGCATGAATTTGAATCAACACGAGAGAGAGAGAGACGAATCAAGAAGGAGCATGTAGCCTGATTGACAAGTGTATTCTCCATGCGGTGTCAGAGACCAAAGAAATCAAAAGAATAAAATTCTGAGAAGAGAGAAACATGGGCAGACGAATATCCAAGATAGCTTCAACAACAATACTGTGAAAAGTGCTTCGGCAACAATCCAGTGGAAGTGGGGGGATTTCCATTCTCCATTAAAAGTAATATTCCTATAAGGTTTTTTTTGTCTTTTATCACAGTTTTTCTAATAATTACTATACACACTTTTTCCTTCAAACCAAACACAGCGTCAGTCTAAAGGAGCCAGGTGTAGATGTGAGTCATGTGACTGGGAAAATTGGAACCGGAAGATGTGGAGATGCTAATCTTATTGGCATGTGCATTCGGTTATTATTCTAATAGTTTTATATTCTATTAGGCTCATGGGAGTGAAAATAGGCTGAATGTAAATTCCGGTTCACTTTTGCTTCAGACTTCACCTTTTCTCTTTACCCCCCAGAAAATAAAAGACTTAACCTTCTCTTGTTTGTTTGTGAAACTGAAAAGTAACATATTTAGTAAAATGGTGTGATCCATCCCACTCAGGGTAGGGTGTATGGATCTGTATTGGTATTTTTTTTTAATGTTTTATTTAATTTTTTTTAAAATTAGTTTAGAGGAATTGGTTTAAGTTTCTGTTACCCTTTAAACCATGGTCTGACCCGAAACAATTCCTGCAAGAGCATATCAGAAAGCTCCTGGCATGATATGTATCGATATTTTAAACCTTGAATCACTCTTTTTATATGTAAGAGAATGGAGGTAGGAGGAGGGTTATTTGTTTGGGAATTGAGAGTACTGTAGGAAGCAAGATGATCTGGTCTGGTCTCCACTTCATATTAAAGAGAATTGAGATGAGAGGAAGGTGATGCAAATTTTACATCAATTTTTTAGATGCAAAATTAACACTATTAGAGAGTAGAGACAAAAAGTACAAATTTTGTATCTGAATAGGAGTACAAATCATAGTTACAAACATATAGATGCAAAATTTGTATCTTATTGATATTTATCCACGACAACCAAAGGCAACCTTGATAACAAACTTTTGCTCTCTGGTAATTAAGACAAAATTTCCTTAAACCTAAAGAAAAAAAAAAAGAAAAGAAAGGATGTTTGAATAAAATTATTTGTATAAGATTAGCATCCAAACTCATTCCAATGAAAAAAAAAAGAGAGAAAGAGGAACTTCCGTAAGAGTAACATGGCAATGAATATCTCCAGAAGGGAAAATCGAAACTCAATATATCAAGACGAAACAGAATTTCGTAGCTCAGCTCACCTCTGAATCAGGGAATGTACTCGAACTGACATGATTTATGACCTACAAAATAAGATAAAAAGTTACGATCTGCAGTCCATCACATACGATGTTTGCATGTTAGATCAACAGTCATCATCTCCAGATCGTTACATCCAGAACCCATTATGTGATATGCAGAGCAATTACTTGCTGTACATCCGAGCTAGATGGATCCCACATTAACTGATAATCTAAGCCAAAAGATGTCGTAACCATCTGATTCGCATCCTAAGTGGGACCTGTAAAATAGCGGGTCCCAGATGCATGGGTCTGTACTCTGTGTTTAACGTATAGTGGGTCAGATTGCTTTTCGTCACTTCTCTGACGAAAGAAATAAACAAGAGATCGGTGCTACCAATCTAGCTGGAAAGAGCTGAGAGTGAATTTCCTGCTTACTTGGGTCAAGTTCTGTGATCATGGCAGCACCATTGAAGTAGCAAGTTCCTCCTTTGTTCTTGAACTTCTGATAGTAGTTATTGAAAGCATAGGAGGCGTGGTCCTTCACAGTGTTTGGAAGATAGCATGGCTCATTCAGCTGTATCTTTCTGCAGTCAGCACCACCCTTCCCACAGGCCCAATCAAGAGCCTTCTGCAGCTCTTCATCCGGTGTCTGTTCGTCAGCGATGCACCATTGCTCAAACTGTGCACCTGATATTCTCAAAACACAACAGGGTGACTGAAACAGTTGACAAGTAATCCAGTTTGATAGAATAAATATTCCTGTTATTTTTATTTCTGCAGTTGTATGTTGTACAGGCTTACATGATGATGTTGATGATTCAAATTTATTTTAAAGGATGGCTTTTGATATCAATCAAATAGGGAAACGACATTGAATTATATAGATTTCTTGTTGTGTGCATAAAGCCTTATAACTCCAGATTCTTCATGGGTAGTAAGAGAATGAAAAAGAATTCCAATGGGTGGTAGATACCATACCTGATTTGTGTGAAGTTATCACCAAAAAGAGCAGAGCAACAAAAATTCTTGGCAAAACAGAGGACATTGCTCTTCCTTGTCTCTTCCTGGAAACTTCTTTCTAATTGTGCACCCTCACCACCCCAAACAGTTGTATATAAATCCACTAATGAAGTTGGAAAATAAAATAAAGAGGACTTCGCAGCTTTTGAAAAAGTTTTGATAATATATATATATGTGTGTGTTCCTTCCATTTTAAGACAACGTTTGGATTGGAGGATTGATCTTTCTGTGTGACCATAGTGCCCTTACTGATACATATATCTAATTAAAGAAGAGGATTTTGATTTTGATTTTGGGTTTCTGAAAATGAAAAAGAGGATGCTGCAACCAAAGTGTTATGAATGAAAAGCAACATTTCTGAAAGTAAATTGATCAAGTAAATTGTTTTTCTTGTTTGAGCAAGTAAATTGATCAGCTAGGTTCTACAGATGGCTCCAATCAATCAACACATAAGAATGTTAAGCGATCAGATAAAAGATATTAATGCCCAGAAAACAACTTTAAGTTTCAGAGAAGTTATTTTTCATGATTAAAAAAAAAAAAAGCATCAGACAAATAACATCTTCCTGAAGGAATCTTCTTTTTTTCTTTCACTGTTATATCAAGCAAAAGATGAAGATGAAGATGAAGGTTACTCTGTCATGACTCAATTAAGTCATGGCACGTGAGTTGTGAAAGCATCAAAGTCACCCCCTACAGGAAGAAAACTCCAAAAGAGAAAAAAAGTTACAAGGAAAAATATTCGGTGTCCAAAGTGACCCATCAGCAGCAGCAGCAGCTCATTTCTTCATATTTTATCAAATGAGTGAAGGGAGTTTCTTATCTTTTAGCTAGCCTTACAAAAAGAAAAGTAATAGTTACACTAATGGAAGGATCTGGATTCAATGAGAAAAAGGGGAAGAAAACAAAAGGAGTTAGGTGCTCAGGATTATAGGAAATTAGGACTAGACCGCCAGTGGCCATCCCACCAACCTTAAATCAAACTCTTTTTAATTTTATATATTAAACTAGTGTATTTGTTTGATGTCTTTATATGGGGATGACTAAGCTTAGTTAACCAAAGCATTTTTAGGGACTCGGACAAGGCAAGGCAAAACCATCCATAGGAATGCAACAAATGTCACGTATGGTTGCAAATTGCAATACAATCTGGTAAATTTGCATGGAAACCCTAAAGAGTGCATCCCACACGGGAGAGTTCAGATTAGCACCCCACAGAATGCGCCTCACTTGCACATCTCACCATCATTAGGAATAAAATGTTCCCAATACATGATTGAAGTGTACTACGTACGCCCGTGCATCATGACAAGACAAGTATGAGAGATGTTCCCAATACATGCTGAGATGTACATGTGGGCCACCAATTTGAACTCTAATCTGGTGCACTCTCACACTGTAGATGCAGGGGAAGGGTCATCACCTACACAACCATGTTGGGTAGTTGGGTAAAGAAGTCTCCCACACCACACCCAAGAGGCTCACAAGGTGAAAATCGAATTCGGATTAGCTGAACGCTTTAACTGTTCAGCAGGCTATGGAACTAATGATGAGGTTCCACGTCAGTAATAAATTCATGGACCCCACTCTAAAAGATGCAGGCCCCATATATTTAATACTGACGTAGAACCTTATCATTGGTTTCACAGCTAAAGCATTCAGCTAAACCTTGCTCGTGAAAATCAGGGCTTGATGCATGATCCCATTGAATTGTGATTAATTGGATGAAACCTCATTCATGCTTGACAAACGATAACCTGAGATTGATCATCCAATCTTGTCTATTTCTTCTACAATTCTACCTTGAACCCCCCACTAGGAAGGCAACCATATCCATATTCAAGTGACCCGTGAGAAAAACCGTGGTGCAGAAGTTTACCGATGATCCTCCTCCTGGCAACCTTGACAATGCAGTTGAAAGACTGGCTGTTCAAAACTATTAATGTCTTGTTTCCTTTTCTCGAGTCTTGATCACCAACATACAAGCTAGCACCGTGATTCACTCCAAACCTGATGTACTGGTGGTAGGTGCCAGAACGCACCAACGCAATGGTGGATTGGTGGATTGGGCACAGTGATTATCAATATGAACACCGAAGTAATTTGACTTAGAACACCATCTTATATCATAAATGATATACCGAACAAATGAATATCTTCAAAAAATATGAACTGGCGAAGCTATTATTTGATGCCCAAAAAATATGTTACATTGTGATTGGCAAAGAAGCTTACAAGAATTTAACCCAGATCTTATTCATGACATATTACAAAGAGATCAGCAACAAAATCTTCAACGTTCTCCTTAAATACAGAGCCACTCAGGCAGGCAGATTAGAATGAGTATCAATTTTCCAACAAAAAGCATATTTGGGCCAGACTTGGGCACACCACCGAGCAAGTCACATTGGTCCTCTGTTTGTCTTCTTTGTTTTGTTTCTGTGCAGTTTATATGCCGTAATTATATACACTAGGAAATGGGCAGCCATCTATTGATCATTCTCCCCTTGCATACAGGCATCTCTTCTTCATAATCACAGAACCTGGGAGTTACGGTCACTAGAGCAGCATTCCTGTAAATGAATAATCAATCATCAAGACCAAGCTAAATACATCCCAATCTTCATAGCTTAAAGAAGAAAATCGAAACTTGGGAAAGTCTTGCACATTTTGGATGAATATCTAATCTTAGCATCCAATAGCAATCCAAATGTGTATTAAGAAAGTGCTGCTAACCATTTTTAGTGCAAGGAAAACCAATACTGAAAGAGGAAATATAAACATACACACGGGGACAGCAAGTAATTGAATCCAAATATACTATAACAATGAAAAGCGTCAATGAAACACACAATAGCAAATAACATGCTATTGATGAGAAAAAATGGGATTGTGTAAGACGTTGATTTAAGAAACAGGTTTTGTAATGTTATGTAGAGAAATGAAAAAAATAGCTCCATATATAAAAGAAACTTCAAATATTGTCTATAAATGAACACTGCAAAATACGTTAGAAAAAACACTCCAGAAACTGGGTTTATAAACTAGGATTCCTCTTCTCTTCACCTGAAAATGGCAGGGAAGGAATGTTGGTGCAAAAAAGAAAAACTAAACATTTTGCACTTTCGGAATGAAGACGAAAGATTTGGCAGAAAAGTTATCCCCATAAATGTCAGTTTCTACTTTCTAACTCAGATCAGCAAAAGTATAAGAGGACATTACCCTAACAGAGAGGACCACAAGAAAATGTCCAACTTAGGGCAGCACCTCATAGCTGAGAGGTATGTTGCTCAGCAAACACCCTGACTATATTTGCAGTTGTTCTGACATTTCAGTGCTGACCACCAATGGAAAAACTGCCATCATGTTAGTCCTGCTCTATCAACCAGATTCAAAGAACCGTGTCACTGCTGAGTAAAGCTGTTCTTCTTCAAATGGCTTTGAAACATAGCCATCCATCCCACATTTCATGCACTCTTCTTGTGTTGCTTGAATAACATCAGCCGTCATAGCTAGTATTGGTGTGTGCCAATGTTCCAGATTCCCAAACATCTCAATTGATGCATCCCCTGATTTAATCTGCTCATTGACCTTGTCCTCCATACAGCGAATTTGCCTTGTAGCTTCAAACCTGCACAAATTATGGGGGGTGCGGGGAGTAAGCAAGAATATACATACAAATTAAAAGAGATCAGACAGAAAGAACCCATGTATACATGACTCCCCAATTACCCCGCCAAGACTATTTGCCATGTTTATCCATCGTCCCACAAGTACACTGGGTTGGATAGTTGGGATAAACCAATCGGGCCAACTATTTGACATAGATATTTCAAGCTGAGCTTACCAAGAGAGAGGTTTCCCCTTTGTGTATGAATAATGTGCAATTTTGCATTGTTGGGATCCACTTAAATTAGATCACCAAAATATTCAAAAGAATAACTGGCCCTCTGATTCCAAAATGTTTGGACTAAGAGCATTAAAAATTGAGTTAGAGCTGAGCATTAGACATTGAGTTAGACTTAAGAGAAGTTAATGCCTTAGGCAATCCAACCCACCTTAACCCAATGTTTCACTTGTATATACTGGCATGTGTATGTGTTGTATATATGTATATGTGAGAGATGTGGAGAACGGTAGGAGTCATTGCTTGATGCAACAATGGCAAAACCTCAGGCTGACAAATGTGAGAATACAGGTTCAATCTGAGAGTGACCAATTCATGCTAAAATACCTGAGATCAGGTAAGTATCTAATCCATCCATCCCTAGACCCAAGATAAATGGGACCTGTATTGAGTAATGACCATTCTTATGGGAAGAGAGGGGTGTTATTGAGTATTTCTAACAACATTATCATTATGGTTGTGCATGTATCATGTATATATTTTGTTTCTAATCTTTGATTGGTAAAAGAAATTCTATTATCACAAGAAATTGTTCAATTGTCTCTCAATTGGTTAGTTCCTGGTTGGTTTCATGGTTAATTTGTGTAAAATAACAGAGACATGAGCCCAACCAAAATAAATAAAGAGGACTAAAGTTGGTGGGAATATGTTAAAACAAGTATACAATTCCTGCTGAACAACTCACATTTTGTCTCATCAGCATTTTTTTTCCTCTTTTGGGGCTGAGGGTTAAGTGGGTGGGTGTGTCTACCTAGCAGTACTCTATTCAGAAATCAGAACTTAAAAAAGGAATTGGAAAGTGATGGCAATTAATTACCCATCCATCTCTGGCATTTGGAGATCCATGAAGCAAGCATCAAACTTGTGCGGTGGTTGAAGCATCCCTAGAGCAGCCTTCCCACTCTCCACACATGTAACAACAGCTCCATACTTCTTAAGGGCAGCTTCTGCCACCCTGCGGTTAACAATATTGTCATCCACAACCAGTATCTGCTTTCCACTTAGTAGGCTCCAAAGAGAATCAACCTTCCCTCTATCCTGCTGCTTCCGGTGTCCTATTCCAAGGGTTTGTTGGAAACATGCGGTCATCATACTTAAACGTAGGGGCTTTATTATCACACCATCTACGCAAGTGGCAAATTTAAACTCATTAAGTGCAGTAGGACTAGTGGATGTAGCCAAGAATATCTTTGGGGCCTTGTGTCTCTTGCTTTGCTTTAGTTCTTTGAGCAAACAAAGGAGCGCAAAACCTGTCCCCTTACCCCAAGCGTCTTCATCAATAAGCACCATGTCTAAAAGGCTTGACCAACTGAGCACAAAACAGTTAACAATATTATCAGCTAAATCAGCCCAAGGCAAGATATATTAAAAGTTCTATACAACCAATGAAATCTGACAAGTACATCAATCATCTCTATTTTGAGATTGAAAACGCAATATAATGTAGACTGGTCAAATTTTCTAATCAAGTATTTTAATCTATTGTGATGTCAGAAAGACTATAACGGAATATTCTCTTATATAAATGGTTAAAGAGAATTTAAATCGAGCCCTCTCTCAGCTTAAAGTTGGCTTCAGGTTACTCTGCAGGTTAAGGTCCTGCATCTTGAACCGGTTCATTGAAAACTTGTTCCAAATTAAAGCTTTTCCTTCTAAATAAGTAAACTAAGACAAATAAAAATTACCTTCCATTGCAAGCATTTGATAAATAGGAACATGCAGATTCCAGACTAAGAGCAACATCCACATATATTCCAAGTCTCTGCAAATGATACCTTGTGACCTCAGCACGGATACTTCTTCCATCAACCACCAATGCTCTCAGTCCATGTAATTCTGAGATGGTTGATTCAACCCGATGGTGTTTTGTATCTACGGAGCTTGTCTGTCCCTTTGTCAAAGCCACAGTAAATGCAAATGTACTACCAGTCCCAGGTTCACTCACAAATCCAATTTCGCCATCCATCATATCCACCAAACGCTTGCTAATGCTCAAGCCTATACCTGTCCCACCATATGTTCGTGAGGTGGAACTGTCAGCCTGCATGAAAGGCATGAAAATGCGGCTCTGTGCCTCTTGTGGGATTCCCACACCTGTATCTTCTACTGTTATTAGTAATCTGGTTGTCTCACTTGCTTCTGTTGAATTAACGCCACGTAATGACTTAAAATTCTCCCAGCTCTTCCACCTGGCAACTACAGGAAATCCACTCAATGTATTATAAGATGTGTCTATAACATTTTGATCCAGCCCCAACTGTTGCTTCAGTACTTCATCCATAAATTCCGGTGGCTCTCTCAATTCTTCTGCTAGATGCACCGAGACAAATATATGCCCTTTCTCTGTGAACTGCAAATTAAATAGTTACTTAAATAGAGTGCTAAAAGTAGGCAGACAACAAAGCAATCAGATACAAGGATTGCATATGTAAGTAGGCAGACAACAAAGCAATCAGAAACAAGGATCGTATATGTAAGTAGGCAGACAACAAAGCAATCGGAAACAAGGAACGTATATGTAGGTGTGGGTGGCAAAACTGTTAGTGTCATCTGATTGGATTGATTTCTGGTGCAGGTCAATCATGCGGGAACTTTTACTTATGGTGCATCCTAGCATTTTCACATTTTATATAGACTATTCTTAACATTCACTAAAACAACAAAAAAATGCAACCAACCTTGATTGAGTTCCCAACCAGATTTGTAATTATCTGCCCAAGCCTTCTAGGGTCCCCGTTGACAACTTCAGGCACCCGATTAGAGATGTAAACAGCCAACTTCATTTGCCCAAAAAAATCAAGTTTATTTTAGAAAAGGCATCATCATGTGTATGAGAGAGAGAGAGAGAGAGAGAGAGAGAGAGAGAGACCTCAATGCCTTTGACATGTGACTTGTCAGAGAAAAGCGACATTACACTATCAAGGATTGGACGCAGATCAAATGGAACAGCTTCAAGCTCAAGCCTGCCTGATTCTATCTTAGCCTGGTCAAGGACCTCATTAATTAATGATATTAGATCTTTCCCGCTGGCATGAGCAGTCTGTGCATAGTCCAGCTGAGTTGCATCAAGCTCTGTGTCTATCAGCATCTGCAGCATGCCTGAAATACGAATACATGTCCCTAATTGTTACTTTTATCCATGTTTAAATCAACTCAAAGACAGCTGAGCACTGCATTATAAATTTATATCTTGAAATCCTTTACACACCTAAAACACCAACCATTGGAGTCCTTATCTCGTGAGAAACCGTTGCCAGGAACTACAATACAAAGACACTGTTTAGATCAGCAGGATATTGACAGAAAACAACAAATCAGTGATTCTTCATCAGCAATGATCAGAAATGAATTTGTTAATGATGGAAATGAAACACCTGCTAATAAAGAAAAGTAAAAGTAGGGAACATAAACAGCTGGAATAAAGATGCTCTAAGATCTACTGTTCAGCCCCTGGGCCTGGTGCCCCTCAAAACAACATTTGATCTCTCAAATCCTCCTCTAGCATGGTAATCAGATATTAGCTAATCTATAAACCAACCTGAACAAAGCTACCATAAGAAATTAATGCCCTTGCCTCCTAAAGTAAGAATCTAAGAGTACATGGACCAGCATCTGAAAACATCCAATCTATAACTTCACTTTTTTGGGCCAAGCTGTAACTTTAGTGTGTTTTCTTTCTTTTCTCTTTCTTTTTTCCTTTTCTTGAGGTTCTTTGTTGCTCTTGGAAGATAAGTGTGTTTGTCTTCCTTTTGTAAATCTTCTATTGATGAATTAATGAAAGTGTTATTGATAAAAAAAAAAAAAAGTCTCCTTTGATTATCAGTCCAGTCCAACCAGAAGAGTGGACTAGCTTTACGCCTTGTAAGAGAGCTAACAGCTCTGCACATTACCTTCATCAACGGGGCCTGAGAAAATTGGTGATATGTTCCCATTATAATTTCTAAAAGCTACCCCCCTCCTGCTTTATCAAGGAAAAAAGAAAAAAAAAAGGCAAATAGCACAACCATCAAAAAACTAATCCTGAATAAAATATATTCTTTGTTTTGCATGACCTGCTACCGCCTGCCACGCCCCAGTTAGAATCTGTTGATATGCCCTAAAATGCCTAAAGCATGAGGTTAGGTATGAGGTTAGGCATTTTAAATGCCTAAAGCATGAAGCATGAGCCTCACTGAAAAACCCCTAGTAATAATTATATAAGCAGTGCTAGCATTATGGTCCAATAGAAGTATGGTGCTCCTAATTTGTTTATTAAACAAGTCCTGTGCTTTTTCCCTTATTTATTTATTAAATAAAATCAACTTAAATTTAAGAGCAAGTACAGGCAATTTGGGGTTTTCAATTTTCATATTTGTCTCAAATCCATTTGACATGCTTATGAGGCTTATAGGGAAGCAATTAAAGAATCCCTAGGGAAATACATCACTTTTCTAATTCGTACCACCTAGATGAAATGTCAATTTTAGAATTTTTGGTTGATAGGATATTGGTGTTGTTTAATTTTTCCAGAAATTTACTGTTATTTTGAAATTGCTATTTATGGTAGCTTTAGGACTTGCTATTTATACAAAATTCAAGATTTACTATTTTTAATAATTCCTGGTATCTTTAAAGTCAATTTTAGTAGGATTAGGAAAGTGTTATGAGAGTTGTTTTAGGAGTATCTAATTTAAGTGTCCTTATGGGTTACCTATGGATTTATCATCATCATCATTGGTTGGGTACATAAATCCTGTTTCACTGTTCCATTCGGTTTAGTGCTATATCCAACTTAAAAAGAGTTGATTTGAGGAAATAAAGTCTTGTTTACTGAATTTTGATTGTTGCCAGGAATTTTCTCTCTTCTTTTTCCTCTCTCTTACCCATTTCTTCATCTAAGTGATCCATCTCTTTGCCACTTACCCTACAACAAGTGTTTTTTTTTTCTTTCTAATATCTTGCTCATTTTTTGGTGGACAATAAGCTGTCTACTTGCTTTTTCATCTCTGCTCTTCATCCTTGATCATTTAAAGCTCTTCCTTAACCCCCACAAAGCCCAGCACCAGATCTGAAATTTGTGGCACCCTACTTCAGTTGTGAGAAAGGCCATGCACCATGAAAGGAGAACTATTATGGACTGAAATAAAAAGAACTCAATAATCTTCATGGGAAAAAAGAAGACACCAATACACTCATGGATCTAGTAACCACTAAAGCTGCCAATTGGGTCTTGACAGGGAGAATTTCAAAGTGTCTCTATAGATTCCATTATTTGGGGGGGGTAAACAATACCTGTTTTTGGCCCAGACCCAGTTCTGAACATATAAGAATTACATGGGGTAAACGGTTCAGGACCCTCTATTATGGGAGGTTCTCCCAGAGGAGAATTGAGTGAGGTAATGAGCATCCTTTTCTGGGCTAAGAGATAAGGGAACTCATTAGAGCAAAAGTTTTATCTCTACTACAAGGACAAGGATTAAGGATTGGTTTCTCTTTGCAACCAAAGAGACAGCAAGTGGAGGAGATTGCCAGGTTTTAACTAGGTCAAGACTTACCAAGTCTTGACACACTTCATAAAGGAAGCTAGAACATTACCTTGCAGGATGAACAAATTGTTCAGGCAGATTCCTAGATCAGCAATGTTTTAGCAGACAAGTTTACCTGAGAAGGGGTCGAAGTTGCAAGTGGATAACTTGTTGATCTCAGTGCATCATTTCATTGGGCCAGTTGGTCTCCTATATTCCAAGCATGTCGTTGATGTAGGAGCCTATTTATCTTTTATTTCTGCTATTAATAAATTCCTTTTTATAGTTGTTATTGATTTAAAGAAAGGCATGCACCTCACTGAAGAAGAACACCTCACTTATACCCTAAACACCTTACTTATACCTAGTGTTTCAGACTGTTGGCTTCATGTGATTCAGTCATGCCTCACATGAAGGCACATTTCAAGGTTCATGCCTCAAATACCTTTTTCCTTTTCAGGACATGAAGCAAAATTATGCAGGGATAGGGGGATGAGACTAATATTTGAGAGCTCTAAGCCAAAATCTGATAACTAAAAATTTTAAACCCACTATTTCGATTCATTGCCCAATTTTGAAGGCCTTGTAGAAATAAAAGTCACCTGGGATTTTGCCACATCAGCAGCTTCAGCTCGAACTTTGAGCTCCATCATCTCACGATAGTCATCCTCCACCTTCTCTATTCGGTTTATTGCTGCATGAAATATATGACCCACAAGCAATGTGATCACCAGGGCTCCTACTGATGATGTTATTGCCGTCCAAGGTGGAGGCGGTTTCTGTTTAAATCTGCAATGGAAACAACTTAGACTACAGCAGTTTTTTTTTTTCATACAAAATCATCATATGTAAAGTCCATGAGCCACAACAGCTAACCTGCAATGCATTTTGTGCTTCCGAAATGGATCCCCGAAATCTAGGTTGCTAACATGAAACAAGCCTGTCTCAGTGACATTAGGACCATACATGTTGATGGGTGCTGAAGTATTAGTTGTATCATACACATTAACTTCAATGGTTTGTTTACTGGCAAGCTGGTGAAGAAGCTTTTCCACCAAGGATTGAATATCATAAGATGCACCCAAATACCTGTTCAAGAAGTAAAACCCTAGTCTGTAACTCAAAGGCTTGATCCAAGTCATTCTATCTATGAAACATTCTGTAATAATGGATTGGAATGCACTAATACTTTAACAGTAGATATGGCGTTGAATAGAAAAGATTGGTGAAACAGGATTTATGTAGCCAACACCATATAGTTGGGATAAGGCATGGATGATGATGATGATGAATAATGGATTGAAATACATCAAACAACTTACCCCTCAGTTGCTTCAATATGTTGCTGAGGTGTAGCATTGGATGGGAGTTCAGTTTTATACACAGCAAATGTGAGCACCACGCCAAGGTTATTGGATTTCAATAGCTTGAAGGGAGATGTCAGGACTCCTTTTCCAGATGCTCTTGCTCGCAGTATGTTTTCACGGTCTTCCTACACATCAGTCAAATTTGTAACTGGGCATCTTGATCCTAGAATAGATAGCATGCCCCTCCCTCTAAAGAACTTCCAACATATTAATTAATAGAAATATGACAAGCCAAATTCTATAAAACATAAGTGTGTATACTTGAATGTAAGTACGGGCATCATAGCATTGTGCTGCACTTTAATGCACATATAGGTCCCATTTTAATTCTACACAACGTCTTGAGAAGAACATCCATCATTTCCATTGGTATAGAGTTTAACTATAGGCATTTCAGCACAATTGCATGGGCACATGCATGTAGCAGGAGATATCTGAGAATAGATCTCATGCTACGGAAAGATTACAAGTAGTGAACATAGATATTGCATAAAACAAATCTCCATGCTAGGACTTTATGGACCACAAATCAAAGAACTCATTACACACTGAGAGGTGGAGACCACAACCAGGAGTGGAGCACCTCAAGATTTCCAACATCTTTTTTCTTGTTTTTGAAAGGTGAAGTTTTTTTTTTCTTTTTTTGAAATGGTAGTGTATTGTATTGATAAATCATGTAATGGGAATGAACAAAAGGATAATTTCTGTATGATTTCACCAAGTAAACAAAATGTCCTGATTAAAAAATCTGCTAGAAGGTATTCCCCTAAATAGCCTGTGAATTGAAAAGCAAAAAGCACAAGGTGCTTTGATTCTGTTTCGTGGCACCTCCATAGAGTTTGCTTTGTTCTCAAGAATACATCCATTTCTTTCTAACCAAAGGCACCAAAAGTAGCCAATGGCATTATCCCAACTATCACTTTGCCTTTCTCACTAAGGCCTTTCAGCTGCCAGGCAAGACAGACCTGCACAATTGTGTCCATGAAGCAAACATTCCAACTGAAAACTCCCAATACCAATGCCCAGATGTCCCTGGTATAACAGCAATACAAGAAAATATGGTTTGCCATTTCAGCTTCAAAAGAGCAAAGGATGCATGTAGTTTCCAGCACCATACCCCTAATCATTGGACTGTCTAGTGTCCACTATTATACATTTCTCCAAAGCTGCAGTCCAGCCAAAGAAAGCTACTTTCAGAAGTTCATGAGGTGATTAATAAGATGGTTGGTGACAAAAGCACTGGGCTCTGATGGCTTTACAAAGTCATAAAAAATTATGGCGCATGATTAAATACCTGATTAAAGTGTTTGAGGAATTCCATGCTAATGGGGCTTGGTCAATAAGCCTTTATTCTACTTTTGTTAATTTGATCCAAACAAGGATGTGTTGGAACTAAAAGATTATAAGCCCATCAGCCTCATTGGAAGCATCTACAAAATCTTGTCCAAGGTGATGGAAAAAACTAGGAAAGTTGCGAATTTTATAATCTCAGAGTTTCAAGTGGAATTTGAGGAAGGCAGACAAATCCTTCATGGGCTACTGGTGGTAAATGAACTAAACGATTCAAGGATGAGCTGGTCAGCTGGATGACTGGTTTAATATGTTACCTCACCTTCATTTTCTGTCATTATGAATGGAGAGTCAGTCATATGGAAGGTTTTTTTTTTAGCTCTAGAGAAGTTGGATTAAAACGTACATAAACTCACCTTCATTCTCTGTCATAAATGGAGAGTCTGATGGAAGATATTTTAGCTCCAGAGGTAAAAGGCAAGAGGCCCCACTATTACCCTTTGTATTTATATGAATTATGGAGGCTCTTAGTAGAATGGTAGCTCAATCTGTTGAAGGAGGCATCCTAGAAGGTTTAAAGTGAGAGAGGAACATGGGGATGCTGCTATTCTTTAGTTTGCATATAACGCCCTCTTTTGTTGCAATGCATCTTCTCCTCAAGTGGAGTATCTTAGAGGAATACTGAGATAGTTTGAGGTGGTGATGGGATTATACATCAATCTAAATAAAAGTGAGATGATGGCAGTGAGAAAAATTAGGGTTAACGAACTGATGGTGGAGTAAGTAGGCTGAAAGGTGAGCAAACTACCAACAAAGCATTTTGAATTACCTTTGGGGTGAGGTGCATCTCCAAAACTGTTTGGGACCAAATCTTGGACCAGTGTGATAAAAGACTGGCATAATGGAAGACAAACCATCTTTCTGAAGGAGGTAAACTCACACTTATCAAAGTGTATTACACTTTTCCAACCTATTATGAATCTCTTTTTCCAATTCCTTCAAGTGTAGCTGGGTTACTTGTAAAGAGAATTGAGAGATTTCTTATAGAAAAGTTGGAAGCAAGAATTAAAGATACATCTAGCGAATTGGCATGTCAATGAAGGATGGATGCTAGGGTATAAGGAAGATGAAGGCAGTGAACATAGCCCTCCTAGGCAAGTGGTTCTAGAGGTTTGGGATATTCCGAGAAGTTTGGATAGGCTATTTGAGTCATCTACCTTTAGGTGGCCAAGAAAAGGGGGGAGGATGCTGTGGAGATGTACAAGGGCTGTTGTACTATGGATGATTTGGGAAGAAAGAAATCTAAGAATATTCAAAGAGAAGGAAAGAAGTGTAGAGTTTGTGTTTGACTGCATGCTGGTGAAAGTAGTGCGTTGCATAAAAACAGAGAATTTGTTCTCTGAATTTACTGTTGATGACTTGCTCAAAAACTGGAGGGTGATTGCAGGTTCCTCTTCTTCCAAGAAAAAACTTGTGCAACAGTGGGATCCACCAATACCTGATTTCCTTAAGCTGAACGTCAACGGTAACAATGTTGGTAATCCAGGCCCTTCTAGAATAGGAGTGATAAGAAATGATAAGGGAGAAATTTTGGGGTTGTTCTCAGGACCAATGGGGGAAGGGAATTCCACAAGAGCAGAGTTGGAGGCAGTTTCGAATGGCTTACAAAAAGCAATGACTTGGGCATTCAGAAATTGATAACCAAAGGGGACTCTGAAGTGATCCTAAGCTGGTTGAAAAGAGAGGAAAAGGGTCCTTGGTGGTTCAGAAATGATATCAAAAAATTCAGAAGACTGTCAAAAGATACGCAAATATCAATCCAATTAGGGATGGAAATTTTCCCTATCCCCGACGGGGACCCGACTTCCCTAACCCGATGGGGTATATATATATATATTAAATGTTATTTATATTAAATATATATTTTTATATTATATATATATATATCAAAACATATTTAAAACATTATTTATAATTTAAAATTTTTATTTATTTATCAAAAAAAATATTATCTAAAAACGTTTCGGGGATTCGGGTCCCCACAGGGAACCCATCCCCATTGGGGATCAGGGATGGGGATGGGGAATATGATCCCCGCCCCAAACCCACCCCGTCGCTATTCCTAAATCCAATGGATTCCAAGGTCAGTAAACAATTTAGCAGATCAATTAGCAAAACAAGGGGTTAGAAGAGAACAGACTTCTTGGGCACGGTTGTAATTTTAAATAGGAAAACTCTAGGGTTGTGTACTGTTTTTCTTGATGTTGTTACAAGGGTAGCTGAGGCTGCTCTCCATTGTATTTTTTTTCTATATCAATAAAAGCTCTCTGTTTTACTGATAAAAAAAAAAGTGGTTCTAGAGGTTTAACGAACAAAATGGCAGCTTATGGAAGCAGTTGATTCTTGATTGCAACAATGTATGGAAGAAGAAATCTGGGATGGAATCCTTGGCGAGGTGAATTCCACATCTGACTAACTCAACTTTTTAGTCTATGAAATGTATTAGGCCTCACCTAGCAATTCGCAGCAACAACTCTCTTATCTATTGTTGGGGCTATATCTTTTTACTTTTCCCTTTTCTGAAAGATACTTGTTTATTGCTATTAACAAGAAAAAGATGAGTACACAAGAGGAAAGACAATGCTATAATCCACTTACTGTATCCTCCATCTCTACCTTTGTATTTACTCGTTGATATACTATCAGTGATTCTACAACCCGAAAGAATTAGAAAGAAATAAGGAAAAGGAAAAAATAAACTAAACAAATAAACACCACAAGGCAAACAAACCACACCTTTCCAGACATCATGTCAATAGAGATGATATGGGAAAGAGATTCTTGGGAGAATATAACAGGAGCATATTCATCTTGAATGGGAGCAGGGTCTAGATTCTCAAGAATATAATCTTCAACGAGGGCCTGGTCTTCCTCCATTTTCTTTATTGTCCAACCATGCTGCTTCTCAAATTGCTCCCTCTCAGAATGCAACACTTTCAAAGCATAGGCAACACCACTAGTAAGCGGCCTTTCAAAAGATGTTCTCTCTGCGTATTCTGCAAATGTTTTCTAGGAAGGAAAGAAACATCAAGTCAGCATCACCACAACATGCCCAAACATGTTTCATGTACAAACTTACCAGCATGCTTTTGATGGCCCTGCCAACAAGATCAACTAGAACTAAAATTTGACTAAAATGGATAAACATAAATCTGACAATCTGGACTTCATTGTAATTCCTTCCTATGTTTTATTTTAACAGTCTGAAAGAATGTAATAAATTGGACAGTAAGGATCGTAATTCTCCAGTCAACTTTTGGCCTTGATAGTATCATAAGTAGAACCAAAATATCAGCCCTACCCAGCAAATATGACATGCACATTGCAGAGTAGGAAAGATGAAGTTTCGATCCTGACATCAGTATTTCCAAATTACATGGACAGATTAAGGCAATATATCATCAGATACTACCAAAATGTCAATCCTGAATTTCCTTTTAACAAATTTGAGATTACCAAAAGAAAAACAAGATGGACATCAAGTTTTAAAGAAATTGTACTTGATCAATAGCAGAAGGTTGCTTCCCATGATGAAATGTTGAGATGAGGATTGCCAAGGCATGGACATGATTCATGCTCACATTGAACTGGTCCTGCAACATACGAGCACGCTCATCACACATGTTGGCAAGCATCTCTTCCCTCCTCAGATTGATATTCTTGTTCAGGTACCAAAATAACCAGACAGACCCAGCAATCCCAGCCAAGACCAAAATAACTAGGAGCTTCCTCCTCCACATCCCGGCATATTTAGAAGAGCCATGGGAGTGATGTTGCTGCTTCTGTCGCTGATGTAACTGAACATGCGGCTGCTGCTGCTGAACCTCCTGCTTTATATTGCTCCACAGTTGCCCACAAAAACTGGAAATCTTCCAGCCCACAAATATCCCAACAAGGACCAACCAACATATCTTCAACAAACAACTGGACTGGCTCACACATTTCTCTTGTTTGTAGTTCCCAAATACCTCTGTCTGTGAGATGCTCTGTCAATGTCAAAACAACCAAAAGCATAAATTTTCTACCTTCGATATGCCTGCTGGAGCCACTGAATGCTCATTGTTCCAAAGTTCTTTATCCTCTGTTTTGTTTTTCTTAACTATGGGGGGGTTCACTTTTGCTATCAAAGACAAAATAGCCAATTTCTGAAGTCTATTAAGAATGAGCATATATATATAAGTTGTGTATGACAGCCTAGTAATTTTATATCTTTCTTTAATTACCTAAGGCTAAAAACCAATGTTTTTAAAGTCAGGCATACAGAATCATCAGACCCCTATGCAATTCTGCTTGAGTAAATAATTGAATTACACCGTAAACCAGACAGAAGTGGCAAACTGATCAATTTGCTTAATAGAGCTCAGGTTACCAATGGTTGGTTCTCAAAATAGTACATATCTTTCTTATAGTAAATAAAGTTATAGCGAAAGAAAGAGAACCAAGCAGCAAAATTCTTATAATAATGCTGAAAACAGCATTACTCAATAATGTTGAAGTTTGATTGATGTATAATCAAATACTCTGATCCTATATGCCACAGGCACATGTTATCTAACCTTCCAAGTCTACAAAATAAATATCATCATCTGTCATCGAGAGAAACCGAGGAAGTCACTGCTATATAAGAATTTATGAACTACATCAGCATTGGAGCATAGAAAATGAGGGTGGAAATCAGAGGTATAAATGGATAAATCAAATCATGGATGACATGATATTAATAATTTTTTGGAATGAAACTGTAACTAAATTGACTTGCAGAAGAGTTGCACGTGAAGGGGATGAAGGCCATTAAGATTAATTCATAGGCAAATGATTCTGACTCCTTGGAAAGATAGCATGAAGATTAGGGTGGTAACCATTTAACCTAGATATGGAACCAACATCCAGGTGTAATATAGCTTTGGAGTTTGAACATAAAAGGCATAAAAAATTCCTAATAGCTTAATATTCATATTCTGTATAGGAAGGCACACAGCAAAGATGTCCTTCTATGTGATTTTTATGAGGTTGCAAGTTCTAAGAAACCAAATAATTTAACTCACGGTTTAGAACAAATCAAAATGAAGGAGCAGAAGACAAGAATATTGTATGATGAATAATAGTGACCATTGTTATCTTCAGGTAATAATATCTATGATAGTGCTTAAGAAATTTAAGATCAACCACAATGCATTTTTTGCAACCTTACTTGGAAAGTGTTTTTCTTTTATTTGACTATAACACATTAATGCATTTCATTCTTAGGTTAGTCACACTTATTGTACATCATGTCAGCACAATCTGTAAATGGACATTGTCCCTTGTACAACCAATACAATTATATACGATCCTTTTGTCCAGAATATCCTAAAATTGGATAAAAGTGGAAAAAGACAACAATTATAAGGATTGGAATCAGTCACCAAATAACAAATACCATTTTTAGAACATAAATATAGCACATTACTAGCATTTTCATGCTAGACAATGTCTCCTCCCAGGTAAGAGAAACAATTGACATAAAATAAGCTTTAACTAACTTTTGGAGATTGGAAAGATAAAAAAAAGGCATGGATGTCAGTTACATGGAATTTACCTTTCCAAAGACTAGATCATCAGGTGAAGCAGAGCACATGATATCTTGAGATAAAACAACTGGTACAAGTTTGTCACCCAAAGATGTCAAGCTAAATTTTGTGGGAGTGTATTCATGTTGATCATGGTATTGGTATTTCACTTCAATGCCATCCAACATCCATCCATTCTGCTTTTGAAACCTCTCCGTCTCTGAACAAAGTTCTTTCTGCAGACAAGCAAAATTATTGCTTGCTGGCTCTTCAAATCCTGGTTCTCCCATACATTTGGAAGGTGATATCTGTGAAAGAAAACATTAATTGCAGTCAGCACGGAAAGTAAACATTGAAGGTTAATTGTTCCCAATATAATCCACATCGGTTTTCCAATGACTTGTTTTATTATTGTTTGCTAATGTTGTTAGTTTTTCCTTTCTCATATCATTCTATCAGTATGAGGCATCGTCAAAATGAGGGAAAGTAGACTGAGATGATTTGGGTATGCGAGGGAAAGATCACCAAATGCATCAGTAAGAAGGTCTGATAGGGCGTAAGTAGGGGAAGGCCAAAAGGACGTGGTTTGAGGTAGTCGGGAAAGACCTGAGGACTCATAATTACACAGGATATGGCCCCTGATAAACTGAGATGTTGAAACAGGATTGGTGTAGCTAACAACAAATAAAAAGGCTCTGTTGAGTTAGAGTGTAGATTAAGTTCAGTAAACAGAGACTAGCCACCGACTCTATAACACTGTCCATCATTTGTGATCACTTACAATCGTTCAAATCAGAACAAGAAAAAGAATGAAGTAGCTATCAATTGATAGCCACGATTTCCATCTAAACATGAAAACAGTATTACAACCCAGATCACAAATAACAAAAAGGAGCTTAAAAGACAGTACCTCTTCTGATTTTGAAGACAAAGAAGCTAAAGCATGAAGATGATTTCTACTGACATTAAATCTCTCTTGCAAGATTTGGGCTTTCTCCTGCCACATGTCAGAAATCTTGGCGTTCCTCTTTGAGACGCTATCATGTTTCATATCATAGAAAAACCATATAGATCCTAAAATACCCCCTAAAGCCCAGAGAAGGAGAAGCTTCCTCCTCCACCTCCAACCGCCATTAGAACATAGCAGTCGCCCCTTCACTTTCCTTGGCTTTATATTAACCGAAAGCCTGCAATTAAAGCCAGAGAACTTGCAATTCAAAGCCATTCTAACTAAAACCCAGCGACATATCTTCAAGAAGATCCTCGGAAGCTTGAGAAAAACACCAGCGATGGCCGAGAAACTCATTAAGATCGCCCCACTACGAAACCCAGATAGAAATTCAATAGTGAAATTGCATATAGCCCAGCTGATATTTCAGCAACACGGAAAGGAATTATTCATCGAAAAGTAGAACAGTTAAATTTCACTTGCCGTTGTCTCGTTTTCTATTTTTCTTACTTTTTATTCCTCAGTATGTCTGGCAATCAAGTCCACAAACAGCACCAACTTTCAGATCATACAAGAAATGAAGTTGAGATAAATCTTGGCAGGGGCGAAACTGGAGAAGACCCACTTGGTACCACGCAATCTGGACTGAAATATTGATGGGAAGAAGAAGAGATTGTTTCTCTAATGGTCTCTACTTTATTTTTTTCTGCTTCTTTCGCTCCTCCTACCACCCGAAAAAACTCATCAAAGACCAGACTTTTTTTTATAAAAAAAAGACCCACTTGTGAACTGCATCAACAAAAGATATTGGACGAAACCCAGTTGGTTTCTCTGCAAACCCAACTGGAATCAATGATCAGAGCGAGATAAAAGAGAGGTTTTGACCCCTCTCTCTCTCCGTTTGGTGTCGAGCATTTGTTTTTGAGGGTGGCTGCATCATTATCTCATCATCTGGTGGGGAAGGTTATAGGAAAAGAAAACAAAAACGAGGAACGAAAGCTAGAATTTTTTTAAAAAACAAAAATCCCGATTCTTTCATTTTTTTTATTATTTTTCTCATCTTTTCTTCCCTCTTCGTCTTTTGCTTTTGAGGACATGAAAGAGACTGCACCATTCGCGTTTAAAGATGGTTATTTGTTTTCTGTCTGCTGTGCAGAAATACGGAGAGAGAGAGAGAGGGTGAGAGGGGGTAAAAGAAGAGGTATCGTGAAGGGGCAGTATTCAGTTCAGCAGTCAGTGAATAAAAAGGGACACAGCTGCATCTAAACCATTACGGCAAAACATCGCCATTTCATCGGTACATGGGGCTTGACCCATGACCCGACCCATATCTCTTCCTCAACCTTCATGCATTTGCGAGTTGTCTGGCGGTTTCTTAACCAGACCCGAGCCCAATTCAAACGGTACTGAGTCTGCTGACTCTCCAAATTTATCAACACACTACAATAGGATTGGTTGATACATACAACAAAATTGAGCTTCATAGAGAGCGGGCAACGCGGCTGGGACACGGTTACTAGGGTTTAATTAGGACCGAAATTGATCAAACGTTCAGAATGAGAAGCATCAAGCCAAACCCAGCTGTCCTATCAAATGGAGCAGCAAAACACATGCAGCCTCAACCCAGAAACAATAACAATAGATAGATAGATAGAGAGAGAGAAAGAGGGAGGAGGGTTGGTTGATGGGTCGGCATCAAGAAAAAACTACCAGGATCCAGTCATCCAGGTGATTTGGATCTTAATTAATTTTTGTTGGTTGTTGCTTTAGTATTATTAAATGGGTTGATTATAAACTAATTAATGTGTTTACATATATAATCTTTTCTTTTCAGGAAACAATTTTAGTTCCAAATAATAACCCATAATGGATCAAGATTCAAAAAGCATAAGCGTGTAGTTTTAATTAATTAATGATCTGGACTAGCTAGAACTGCTTGATTATGATTGTTAAAATGTAGTAACTACTAACTAAGCTACTGCATTCATTAGTTTCTGTAACGCAAATCTCAATGTCTACATGCAACTTGTAATTAAACCTACGTAAGCATATACATATATTAATCTCTCTGTATTGAACTTCTCGTACTCTCTAACACAAGCAATCCTTATAAAAAGTTTTCTTGGTGCTGACCAGCTAAACTACTTTCATTGAAACTCGAAAAGGGGTGTTGCTGTAATTAAACTTGTAATTAGTACCCTAGTCTTATTTTGATATCCGAATTTTAAAACGTATCAACACAGTACCTGAATCCATAAACGGTCTGTTATTTATTTGGATGATTGATAAAGAAAATTAGATAAAATATTTATATCTAATTGCAATTAATTATTTTAATCTAAATTAAGATATTTTAATAATTTAGATATTAGATTAATATATATTTTAAATTTATATAATAAAATAAAACTAAACACAAAGTAGAGCGTACTAATATACAATCCACCCTAAAATTAATAATAATATAACAAGGTAACAGCTATAAACAAATTAATTGAATGAGATTGATTAATGATTATGAATAAATAGCATAGGGTCAACCATTAATTAGTAGCAGTAGCAAACTAGCACGTAGGTGCTGGCTAAAAACGATGAAGAGTTGAGGCAGCTGGTGCAACGGAGAACGGCCATCTGACTCTCATCCATAACTAGCTGAAGCTACGCCTACGCAACGCGGTATCAGTCAGCATCACCTTATTCCTCATCTTCTAGAACCATTTTTTGTTTAATCAATCCAAAGCTCTGATTAAATAAACTGGGGAGAAGCTTGAATCCAACAGTGGTGCTTTTGACTTTAAAACTTGAATCAACCGGGACCAGTTTCCAGCTTCCCTTACTTGTAGTTTATTACTCTACTCTGCCCACTTGAAAAGGGAGCGGAGCACATACATGTGCACATGCATCGCTGATTCCTACATATAGAGAGAGAGCACATTTTTAATTAAGAGATTGCCCCAGTAATTAACGTGCCTTTAACGCAACATTTTAGCCATTTCTCTTTCCTATCTCTCTCTCTATCATCCCTTCATCCATAGCCAGAATTGAGAATATCAACTGAAAGGGAAAAGTAGGAAGCTGTTGTCAATTTCATATTATAGATGGAACGTCCTGCTAAATGAGTATTATGTTTTTCAAAACCGGATCGGACGGTCAGACTGGAAAAACCGGGAATCGGTTAGGTGATTGGTTTTGTTTTTCTTCAAAATCGGATTTTTGCCAAAAAATATTGATTTGGTCAGTAAATCGCTGATTCGGGTAGTTGAATCATTCAAACCGTTCAATGGTTTTGACCATTTATTAATTTATTATTTTTATTTTTTTTGTCAAAACAGGCTGACCGTTCAGTTCGAATGATTGGACCATTTGACCCGGCAATCAGACCCCTGACCGGTTCGTTGTTCGGGTCGGTTTAAAAAACCTTGATGAGTCCTGAGGCCCCATTTGATTTGCGGGAACAGGGGTCTGGAATCTGAATCGGAATAGTCCATTCCAATTCCAACTATTTGGTTGAGTGGAATCGGAATTCCTTTCCCATTCCTGCTAGAATGGCATTCCCTCATTTGAGGTGGTTCTCTGCCCCTCCCTTGAGAGTGAAATCTCATTCCAGCTGATTCCATTTTTCATTCTCATTTCTATCTGAACCAAACAGATTATGGGAATAGACCATTCTGATTCTGATTCTGATTCCAACTATAAACCAAACGGACCCTAAGTATTATAATATCACTTAGAATTAAAGTTGAAAGCCTTGCTTCTATGGTCATTCGTTTTCGGATGAAAGTGATCAAGTAATTAAGTTATCAAGTTGATGGATCTCACAAAAAAGAAATATATTCACATTTTGTTTTTCATTATTAGTGGGTCGCATGAAAAAGAATGATTCCTTAAGTGGCTCCATTACTTCGGACCTAGGCAAATAATACCTTCCAGAGACTTGGATAAATCACTTTTTCATCCATGTAGAAAATCGTTAATATATAAACGGGCAACATTATCCCTTCAATCATGGTTTTCAAAACCGGACCAGGCCGGACAATCGGACCAAAAAAACCGGGAGGTGACCAGTTCCGTTTTCCCCCAAAATTGTTGATTTTGGTCAATGAACCATTGAACTGGGCAATTAGTCGTTCGAACCATTCGAACAGTTTCAACCATTCTTTATTTTTTTAAATTTTTTTGTCAGAACGATTCGAGCATTCGGTTCAAATGGTCGAACCATTCAACCCGATAACCGGACCCCTAACCGGTTCGGTCTCTGGATCGGTTTTAAAAACCATGCCTTCAATAATAACACTTTTCTGAATAAAACGGTCAATGTATAACTGTGATTAGGAAATAAAAGAAAACTGGTAAATGCAATTGCCACCTAGACATAAAACATCTATTCCAATAAATACATTTACTCAAATAAATTTAACTTGTTTTACCCCTTTGTCAATCCATGGAATCGCTGGTGGCCTGTTGCTTCTATTTATTTGACCGGTACTGTTGTGTTGACATGTCACGATTTGATTAGTATATATTTGGGTCAGTTTCAGATTGGGACGTTGATCAAGTCGGCACACCAATAGCCAATTCAGTTAACCCTAATATAGCAATATTATATAATTTCAGTTTCAGGGGAGGGTGGCGTTTGATTAAGACTTGTTTATGTGGAAGTTTATAATTGAAGGGAGTTGGGATTGGCGAGATTCATTTTTCATGGCTTGCTACTATGCACTGCACTGATTGTGTTTGTTGATTTGTTCATGAAAACAAAAATAAAAATATAAAAACAAAAGCCCCCCAACATTGCATGTGAAATGGAGTTGGTTTTGTTTTCAAACATTACATCACTCTCTATCAACCGCAAATTAAATCAAATACATATACCTTTTATTTTTTTGTTACCAAATCACATTGACTAAGTGTTCACCCCTCCAAACAAATAAACGCATACACACCTATTTGTGTCCTTGTGTGGGTCTTACTAGTCGGATTGTCCAAGTAAATCTTCCACGTGGCAATTTGACTGCACATGTACATTCCTCTGATTAATTATTCTCTAAGGGTGCATTTGGTTCACAATTGGAATTCTTTTTAATCGGATCGGAATGTTGGATGAATTTAAAATTATAATATTGAGACTTCCAATGGTTAATGATAGTGCGCGATCTGAATGCTCCCAGCTAGAAGGTAGTTTGGACGTTGGTTAGCTTTGCTGGCCGGTCGAATTGCAAAAGAGGAAGGCTCAGAGGATCCGGGGTGGCTTATCCAGTGTGGGTGCTCCGATGCTTAATTGAGTACCTTGTTGAGCGAGCTAAATGCTTGTATACTAATAGGCTAGTGAGCAGTAAATCGCGCGTACCTTGTATCGCTGGGGTTGATGCCTTTATATAGATGAGCTGTCGTAGGTCTCATGAAACACTTTCAAGATCTTCGGCCCGCGCTACTAGGAATCCGTTCCGCGCCAAGAGGTCGACTTCGTGCTAGCTGATAAGGCTTATCGAGTCCCGATGAGGATAAGGCTCGCAAACGTGCATTATGATCCCGAAGAGACCGAAAAGAGTAGGCTTGCTTCTAGAAGTTGACTACATGTCATATCGGTAGGTCGGGCCATCACGAGCTGCTTGAACCTTGGTCCTGGCCGAGATGCCCAAGATACCCGAAGTGACCTAACTCGCTGAGGCAAAGGATGCCAAGCCGATGTCCAATCGACAAATTGCTTCCACGTGTCCGTGCACGGACCAAATCAGGTAAAAATATAAATACGTACATAGCTCATGTGAAATGGAAATTACTTGATCCATCCGATTAAGGATAAGTTTCTCAGTCTCTACAGTATATGGCCAAAGAAGAAGATTGGTTATTGGAGTGTGTTAAAAAACTGTCAACCGTCAACCACCATGGACCATACAACAAGGCAAACACATTGAGGGCGCAATTACTTTCATCAGTCCATTCACTTAGTACTTGGTAGGGTCCTCTTTGTCTTGTGATCTCAATCAACCTCGCATAGAGATGCAGATGCAGGAGGGCA